TTATGTCATTGGAAAGATAACTTGAAGGGCTACAACTTTGATTCAAGCACCAAAGGCTAATTCAGACTTTTAGAGGGTGAAAATGACCTAGAAGACAGACTCAATGCACAGGCAGTACACACTGCCTTGTGGCCACGGGTCTGGCCACGCCCGTGGCCACACACGTGGCCACTGGGCAGTGTAAACTGCATTTCTGGCCACGGGTGAAGCCACGCCCGTGGCCACACCCGTGGCCAGCCCTCTGCAACTTTATAAACTGCGTTTTTCACTCATTTTAGCTCGGTTTTGACCCATGGTTGAGCCCTAGCTCCTCTCTTTCACTTCCTTTCATATTGTAGTGTTAGATTAGGTTTAGATTTAGGTCTTAACATATTTCAAGCTTTTAATCAAGGATTCAACACTTGGATTTCAAGATTTACCATCCATTTCTTAGTGAAGTTTTCTTCTCTCTTTTATCTCTTTATTTTGCAATGTTTATGCTTTATATTTATGTTTTTGTGTTCTTTATGCTATTGAATCATGAGTCGTTAGTTTATGGACTTGAGTTAGGGTTGTATTATCTATCTTGATGCTCGATTTGTGATTATTGGAAAAAAGGGGAAGAACTCCAACCTAGGGTTCATGTGTTTGTGAAGGTTTTGTATTTATATCTTGTTAATGTTTGATGTACACATTCATTAGCTTGTTTTTGGAGGATTCCTTGCCTCAATGAGAGTTGGGTGATGAATCCAAGCCACCCCTTGCATAGACCCGATTTCTTCCTACGAAAATAGGGGAAATTGGGGGCTTTAGATGCTTTGTGTGCTTGATAGACTTGGAATTGATTCACCACGAAAGTGGGGCATTTCCTTGTCCTAATCCTTGTTTATTAATCACGAGAATGGTTCATAGACTAGGATACCTATGTGCATTCCCGCTTGATTCCTTGGTTACTTGTTCTCCTTAATCCCTTAGGTTGTTAAAGCATCTAGATGATAATGCTCCCTAGCTTGAGTCCTATCTCTTTATTTTGTGTTTGTCTTTGTGTATATGTGTTAGTCTTATCATTTCCTTAAACTTGTAGTTTGCTTAGCTTCTTGTTGATTTCCTTATGCTAGTGCCTAGTTTATTGTGATGGCATATTGCGTGCCATATCCCCCAATCTCCTGAGGACGATATAACACACCCGAGCTCACATCTTATTTTTGCTACATCAAAAATTGGCGCCGTTGTCGGGTATTGGCAATTTGGTGGTTCTATGTAATTGCTTGTTTAACTGGCATTAGAGTTTAGGGAATCTTAGGAGACTAAGTTTTGTTTTTATTTGCTTATTCTTCTTGTCAAGTTTACTTCATTTGGTTTGATTGAAAGAGATTTAGCAAGATGGACCAAGGAGGATATTATAACTCTCAATCTTACGGGGTTATGGAGACTACATACCTCAACAATGATACTACAATGCCCCATCCATTAGTCCTTGTACAACTCAAACCCCTCCTCCAAATAGATACCATGATGCTCAATTTAAAGATCCTTACCTACCACAATCCTTCCAAGACTTACCTTGTCATTCCCAACCTCCATACCATAATCCATATCCTCAACAATACCAAGATCCCCAATATGCTTTTTATGATCAATACCCTCAATGTTCACAAGACTACAATCCACCTCAACATCCTTTCCCACCACAAGATTACTCTCCAAATCCATACCCTTCACCCATTCATTACACACCATACCCCCAAGACACTCAACCATCATATGATCATCACATCCATTCACCAAGTGTTGGGAAGTTTGGAGTAGATGAGGAGACCTTGGCATTGGCTAGGCGTTGGGGAGTCACTATTGTACCCGATGTTGACATTGAGGATGAAGGATATCCCATGAGACCAAGTGAGGAAGAATATGCCAATAATCGATGGGAACTTCAAGAGCCACTCTATCAAGAACCTCAACAACAATATCAAGACCAATTTCGAGAAGTCTATTACGAAGAACCTCAACAAGAATGTCAACCATTTGATCAAGATCCAGAGATGAAGTTTATGATGGCCAACATGCTTAAGCAAATGAATGAGCAACAAGTTCTACTAGACAACATGATGGCTCAAATACAAGGTTTGACAACTCAAGAACCCGTTCAAGAATTGTCTTCCAATGTAGATGTTCTACAAGAGTTGCTCTTGCCAAATGAAGGTCATGTGGTTGAAGAAAATAAAAAGCGAGGTGAGGACATTGATGGTGAAGATGAAGATGATGAGGTTTATGATGAATGCATTGAGATGGAGACACCAAGTTGGGGAGAAAGGTAGAGTTGCAAGATAATGGTGATAAGGAGCAACTTGAGAATGAGTCAATGGAAGAAGTGCCAAAGAATGATGAAGTTGATGGAATGTGTGGAACAAACAAGGAATGCGCTCAATTGGATGACACTCCCATTAATGAAGATTTTAGAATAATTTGGGAACCGGGAGGTGTCAATGTTCTTGAGAGTTTTGGCCCACATTGGCAAAATATTTGAATCAAATGATTGCCACTTCTTATTGGTGCATGAGAAAAACCCAAGACTCTCCTTACTTGCCAATGAAAAGGAAAGTCAAGAAGAGAAAAGAAGTGGAAACCAAGGAAATGAACAAGCTCATGGATACTATCTAGATCCAAAGTTTAGGAAGAAATCATTCGTTGATTTATGGATCAAGAATGGATTTGAGGAAAGATGCATGAAGTTTGGAATGAAGAGAAATGAGATCCTAGCAACTGGAGTGGTGAACTTGATCTTAAAAGAACTTATTGATGGCCATCACTTGAAGTGCTATTTGGAAGAAATTGTTGAAGAAAAAGAAAAAGAGATGAAGATTGAAGAAGATAGCATATTCTTGGAAGTGGATCATTGCAATTTCTTTGAGAAGAATATGTTACTTTTGAGCTTAAAGGAGTTCCTTAATGCCCGACATTTAAGGACATTCATTGAAGATAAAGTGGATAGAGAAAAGGGACTCATCTTCATCCAATCATGCATGGATAGTTCTTTGAGAGGTTGAGTCGAGCTAGCGACATTAAACTTAGCGCTTCATGGGAGGCACCCCATGTTATCTTTAATTTTATTGCACTTTAATTTCTTCTTTATTTTTCTTAGAACTTTTATTTTTGTTATATCATGCTTTTACTTGTGCTTTCATGTATATATGCTCTTGACTCTAGGAATGACACCAAGGAGTATGCTCAATTCCAAGAAAGCTTCATTATGATTCTTTGGCACTAGAAGATTCATTAAGGGAGTCTCATCTACCTTCTCTACTTTCTTTAATTGTGTATAGTGCTTTACTTGGTGTAGTTAGTAGAGATTGTGCTCCTTGTGCTTATTGTGCCACCCTTTCCCTCCTTGTGTTTTGTTTTCTTTCGCATTGAGGACGATGTAGCCTTTAAGTGTGGGGGAGGGGATAATTTGGGTTTTTTCTAAAAAAAATTGAAATTTTTGAAACTTTGCTTGGATGACTCATTGTGCATAGTGTTTGGTAAATTGTCTTCCCTTGCTTGAAGTTGTGATTACTCCTCTTTGTTGGTTTGTGGTGTTTTGGTGGAACTTGTTGCAATTCAAGTTGTCATTCATGAGCCAAGGGGTAATACATGATTGATTTATTCTCTTGCCAATAGCCTTGTTAACCACTTAATAATTGAATCAATTCTTGATCTTGTGTGTTATGCATTGCTAGTGAAGGCTTATGTGAAACCGGTCATGGTTGTATTGCTAGAACTTGCCTCATTACTCCTCGTGTGAAGTCTAAGGTTTGCATGTTTTGAAATGATTTAGGCCATTTTTGTTCAGCCCAAGCCTTTCAAGCCTACCCTTTACACATGTGTTTACCACTAGTTGTCCTCGTTGAGCCTTTTGTGTTTGTTTAATAAGTGCTAAGCACTTGTTCCTTCATTGTGATTGTTTTTCCTTGTGTTAACCCTCATCATTTAACCCTTAACCCCTAGCCAAAATATTTCCCTCCACCCTAGAGAGAATAGAGCATTTATTCTTTTTATTTGAAGAAATCTTTATTGGAGCTTGTTTTGTTAGCAATCCTCTTGATAATTTTGTCTAAGTGTGGGGGTATTGGTTCATGGAATAAGTTTGTTTATTGTTTTGAATTAAAGAAAAGAAAAGAAAAAAAATGTTGTTGAGAAAATTGAGAAAAAAAAAGTGTTGAAAAAGTGATGAAATGAGAAAAATGAAAAGAAAAGGAAGAAGAATAAAAGTTTGAAGCTTGATTCTAGTTTGTGTTGAAAGTTGTACTCAACCCCCACCTCTTTAGAGTATTGCTTTGTGTCAATTGTAAATTGCTCCTTTGTCCATAGAAGTTATATCTCTTCTAGCTCCAATTGTGAATAAATGTGAAGTTCTCTCCTTTGTTTTATTTCTATACCCCTTCTTTGTTAGCCATTCACCCTTAGCCCCATTACAAGCCAAATAAAGACCTACTTGATCTTAGCATGCAATCCTAGAGTTGAACTATGGGAGTATGAAGGGCAAGCCTATTGAATCTCATTCAAAGCCAAGTTTTGCATAATCTCAACTTAGCATTTGTGCACACTTGATCATCACACACTTAAATAACTTTGGTGCTTGGTTATTGGCTTGAGAATTGAACTTGTGTGGAAGGCTAAAATGATTCTTGAAACAAGTTGTCTTGTAGCAAGTTGGTTTGTGGTTTGATAGGTTGTGCAAAGTGGGAGTATGATCAATTTCATTACTAGGTTGGTGATTTAATTTATTTATATTCTTTGCTTGAGGACAAGCAAATGTTTAAGTGTGGGGGAGTTGATAAGTGCTTATTTGCCTATATTTTTCTCCCTTTCACTAAGCCATTTTGCTTATAGATCATTCCAAATTTCACGGGATTATGATTAAATTGTGTCATGCAAGGAGTTTTGTTTGGAAACAAAGATGAGTATTTTCAGGCATTTTGTTGGACATTGGAGTCAAATGGAGCATTTTGGATGCATGATATACTTCTGCTACAAAAACAATGAAGACGAAGATGTTCCATTGTTCGAAGGATGGATTTAAAAGGAGTACAGGAAAAAGGTGTTATTCTAAAATTGATGGTCGTACAGGTTGTGGTGCATATGTCCAATTCAATTTACATGAGAATGGGATGTGGATTGTTTCGAAGCATGAGAAGTTGCATAATCATGAATTGGTTCCACCAAGCAAGAGTTACCTTCTAAGGTCACATAGGATGGTGTCTAGGAATCATATATCCTATCTTACTGATTTGAAGAGCAGTGGTGTGTCTGTTGCAGATGGTGTAAGATTCCTTAAAACACAATCAGGAGGATCACCACTTGTTGGTTTTACAAGTAGGGATGCATATAACTCTCTATGTACCGATGCATTGAACAGATTGGATGGTACCGATTCAAACACATTGATTGAAATATTCAAACAGAGGCAGTCAAGTGAAAGGGATTTTTACTTTGATTTTGAGGTGGATTTGGAGTCAAGGTTGTGTAGTTTTTTTTGGAGGGATGGACGAATGAGGAGAGATTATGATTTGTTTGGGGACTTGTTAGTTCACGATACAACATATCGTACTAACAAATATGACATGATTTGTGGACCTTTTGTTGGCATGAATCACCATTGCATGAATGTTATGTTTGGATGCGGTTTTTTGATGAATGAGAAGATTGAGTCATTTGTATGGTTGTTTAAGACATTTTTGAGATCTATGGATTACAAAAGTCCACAAAGCATAATGACTGATCAATGTGCTGCTATGGCTGCTGCAATTGTTCAAGTTTTTCCAAGTTCACGACATCGGCTATGTATATGGCATATTGGCGAGAACTCAAAGAAGCACATTAAAGGGTTAAGAAATCAAAAAGATTTCCTAGATATATTCAATTGCTTGTTGAAGTATATTGATACAGAGGCAGAGTTTGAATTTTACTGGACAAGGTACGTGTCTGATGTATGCTTCGTTATTTTTCTTTTTCTTTTTTTTTTTTTTGTTTTTATTATTAGTTTATATTGGATTATCATTGAATGAATATTTGTAGATTATATTATACAGAATACATAATTAATTTTTTGGATCAAGTTTATGTGTATCTATTTGATAGTTTATGTGTATTCATGTATAAGATTATGTACATTAGTCTGTTCTGTATGTGATATCCTGACATGCTTGTAGGTTTACTTTAATATATCTATGGCATGTTATTTCAGGATGGTTACAACATATAAATGTCACAATAATCATTGGATTGAAAAGTTGTATGGGTGTAGAGAAAAATGGTGTCCTGCATTTAATAAAGATTATTTTTCGGGTGGGATTTTATCTTCTCAAAGGAGTGAGACCACAAATCACTCTATTTCTAGAAGGTTGTCCAAGACATCTGGTTTGTGTGATTTTTATAACTCATTTGTTGGGGTCATATCAGAGTGGAGAAGTAGAGAGAATGGGGAAGATGTTCGGTGTTCACAAGGTGTACCCACAATGGTGATGGATAATGTTAAGATTCTGTTGCATGCTAGGGAAATTTATACAATTGAGATATACTATTTGTTTGAAGAACAATTTTTGAAAGGTGGATCATGCTATCAAGAGTGTGTGATGTTGGAAGATGGTGTGTATTAGTACCATGTTTGGAGGCCTGATGTTGATATTATTAGGCATGAAGTGATCTTTAACAGTAGACAAATGGACATTGGATGTAGTTGCAAGTTGTTTACTGAATTGGGGATTTTGTGTTGTCATTGTTTACGCATTCTGAATGTGCATTGTGTTTCTGAAGTCCCCGAGAAGTATATTTTGAATAGGTGGACTAAAAAAGTTGTTGAAGTTGATAATTTTGATATAATGTCTAGAGTTGATAGTGGTAATGGTGCATCTTCTGTTAGGTTATTAGAAATCATTAGGAAATTTCAGAGGCTTGCTATTTACAGTCAGGAAAATATCGAAGGACGGAAGATTTGTGAAGAAGCAATTGCAGATGCAAAGAGAAGACTTGAAGCTGAATGTGGTGGCAATTTATTTGAAGATTGTGACATAGGATCGCCAAGTGGTGTTATAAAGGATCCATCTACTAGGCGGACGAAAGGGTTGCGGAATATGAGGGTGAGCAGCGTTATTTCAAAGAAATATAACAAAGCAAGGGGACGGAAGCATCTTGCAAATATGGTTGCTTCCAAAATAAAATCTGTTGTTCAGTCTCAAGTTGAGGATGATATTTTAAATATTGCAGGCGATGGATATCTTGTCCACCCAAGTTCCGGAGGTTCTAGTTTTTGTCACGTTAGCACAATGTCAAGCATGAAGGATAATTAAAGCATATGTTAGTGTTAATCATCGTAGTTATATGTATCACGTACAGAACGATGTTAAATCATATAAATCAGCAGTAATAAAATAGACATTTATTATGATATGTGCTGTTTTAAAACTTTATGTGTATTCATTATATACTTTATATGTATTACTTCATATGATTATGTACATTTTTATCTGTGTTAATTACTTTTATATATTTATGTACATTTCTTTTTTAGATTTGCAGTTATCAGTATAGGGAAATGATATGCTTGGTCCTATGTGTATTATGTACATGGATTATATTCAGTAGGATGTTTGATTGTATATATTAGCAGAAACAAAATATTTGTTAGACTTTTTTTAGTAGTATGTGCACTGTTGTGAAAGTTTATGTGTATTCATTATATGGGTTATGTGTATTACTTCATATGATTATTTACATTTTTTGATAGTTCATAGTTTGTGTAGTATATGCATTGATTATGCACAAAACTATATCGGGGTATATGAAAAATATAGAATACAAGTAAACATTAGATTGTATTACGAAAAGGAGCATATACAAATTTCTGATAATTGTTTATCAACTGAAACTTCCAAAAATTGAACCAAAAATACAAGTAAGTCTGAGCTTGGATTAGCAGAATTGCTTTTTACAGATTCTTGTTAGTAGTTTCACTTCTATTTCTTATAGTTGTCTCTTGCTGAGTGCATGACTGTTTCCATGTATTCGTTGTTCTTCTACATGAGGATGTTTGCTGCATATTTTGCTCTAAGCGATGTAATGAAAGCAGCCTACAATAAACAAAAGATAGATGTTAAAATTAGAAGAAACAAGAGATAACATGTGTAATGTAGAACAAAGTTGATTATTACTTACATCACTATCACCCCCTATGATACCAGTTTCCCACTTGTCTACCTCAGTCCCTTTGTAAGTTTCCATGTGGCGCATGCAATACACACCACAATCTGTTATGTTCTCTTCATCCTGCCATGGCATGTGAATGCACTCAGCTTCGATATTCTTCACTTTCCTTGCAAGGGAGTTTTTCTTCGATTGGAGGTATTTGTAGAAAGCTGTTTTCTGCACATTATAGTAATTGTAGTGTTTAATTAATTTAAGTAATGTAAATATTAAACTATAGGGTATAGATATTAAATAGGAGTATTAGTTTATCTTACCAACTTAGCCGGGCAGTTCTCATATCTGTTCGTACTTGGTATTCCCTTGGGCATTAGCTTGTTATCAATGATCTGAAGTTTTGACTTGGGGATGTTAAAGCACATTAAGTAGTAGTGATTGTGCCTCAAGATTGTAAAGAAAACCTGAAATGAATAATCAAAAGGTATTTAATAAACTGTGTCAAATACAGACATAAATTCAATAATCTTAGAATTCATATATATATATTTTTGTTTTACTTACAAGACTTGCATCTGTTATATCAATTGCAGTCCCCCTCAACTGGTAGTCAATATTTGTATAGAAGTCACCAATATCCATATTCCTAGCTTTTATTTCAACATTTTCAAGCGTCATCTGTAAAGAAGAGGTTGTGTGTCATATAGTACATTGTTTTAAAAAATGCTTAGTTCTAGATGTGTACTTACGTAAGCAGCTTCCGAGAAGAAGATCCTTTTTGGTTGATCAATTGCTCTTTTCATATCAAGCACTGTCAATCTGTGTGCCCAGATTTGCAGGATATTTGTAGCTAGTTGCCCACTTGCCAATGTTGCAATGTCCTCCCTCGTTGCAAATAGATCATGGGCAGAAAACAACATTTCACTGGAAATAAACAAAAGAAGTTGATATTACAAAATAAACACTTCACAATTTAAAGTAATCTACTGTTTCCCATAATGTAAATGTATAATGTACATAATGTCATGAAGTAATACACATAACATATAACCAGGATACACATAATTTTGGAATACAAGAATAATGATTATCATGAACACCAATGTACATAATATTATGAATGAATACACATAACGTATATCATGAATACACATAACATATATCAGGAATACACATAATGTGGTATATCAACTGAGAACACCAATGTACATAATATTATGAATGAATACACATAACATATATCATGAATACACATAACATATATCAGGAATACACATAATGTGGTATATCAACTGAAAGCATCTGTTATAACAAGTTATAAATGAAATACATACTAAGAAGGGTAGTCAGTTTCATCTGGTGGCAGGAACGCATAGTCCGAGATCAGTTTTTCCCTGGCGGAAACATTCTTGAGTTTTGAAAGGTTGCTTGTCCAGTACGGGGATCGAAAAGCCAGAGGGAGGTTTTTGAACTTTCGCTGTGGCCTTTTCCGGACATTGACATCTTCAACATCATCTTCAGATTCAGCCATGATGCTTTGTAGAGACAGAAAAGTAATTAGAAACATGTTTTAACATGTTAAGCAGTAGGCATAACATCATGATTAAATAATTAACAAGGATAAACACACATAAGGATACTGTTAAGTGATAAGTGAGTTTTACCTATCAAACTCAATTTGTTCTGGAGTTTTCTGTTCAGTTGCTGGTAGTGATTGGGGTGAACCATCAGCTATGTCATCAACGAGCTGCTCCAAGAGTGTTGCAATTGGGGTAACTGCTGCTGCTGCTGTATTTTCTTCCGTTGTTTGTGGTGGTGGTGTGGTGGGTGATGCTGATAGAGTTGCTGCTCGGGGTTCAGATGTGGGTTCGGGCGGAGGTGGTGTTGTTTCAGGTGGATTTGCATTTCTCGGGGCTTCTTTAGGAGTAGCATCACGGCCAGTTGGCGTCAGGAGATTAAAAGTTGGTGCAGGTATGTCAGCAGTTGTCATGTTCTTTAATGTTGCCAGGAATGCCGCTTCAAGTTCAGCAACCGCATCCAAGAAACTGGGTTGGTTGTAGATATCATCATCTCGCAGCAAGCTCTCCGGTGGGGTTGGATTCGGGCATGGGGTGAGGTTGGCAGTGGCGGATAAGTTACTGAACACATTTTTTATAATCTCAACAACAGAGGTGTTCGCCCCAACACCTGCCATGACCTCACCGAACTCCATAATGCTCGTGGTCATCTTTTTCAATGCGGTGGTGACCTGTTCAACTTCTTGACCTTGTGGCAGTTCACGGGGCGGTGGCAGTTCAGGAGGTGGTGGCTGATGTGCATCTGGGATATATTCAACGACTTTGCCCTTTCCAAAGCCGCCTATGTCTCTTTCAACCTTGACCCTTGCTCTCAAATCACTTGAAGTCCATGAAGTGATGGTGGGAATTCTCTTTCTGACTGTCTCTCCTCTAACCTGTACTTTGTCTAGGTATGCCAGCTTCAAATAGAGAAAAAAAAAAGAAAAAAAAAAGAAGATAAACCATTCAAAATCAGTATGAGTTAATGTTTAGGATGACACAGTAGAATACACATAAAGTTATTAAAAGATGTACATAATTATAGTCTACAATGTACATAATGTATATCATGAATACACATAAGGTTGTAGGTCAATATACAGAGTGCATACCATCAGGAAAGTTGCAGGACCAGTGAAGGCTGCATCACGCTTGCCCCTCCATGTTGCGATGGTGTCAACAAGAGATCGTATCGTGTAAGCACACCAGTTGAAGTCTGGGATCTTGCTGACATCTTGCAATGAATACAGGAGCCTGTAGTTGCAGAAAATGTTCTTGAAGCCTCTTATCAATGTGGAAACAACATAGATTATGAAGTCACGTTTGAACATGTCGCCATGATCACGCCTCTCAATGATGCCATTCAGCATCTGGCTTGTAGTTGGTGTGCCTGTCTTCACTCCCCACCGCTGTCTCCAAAGTGCAACCAAGCGAGTGAACTGTGGGTCCTTGCTCGTTACTTCAGCCTCCACAACAGTCTGTTGGCCTCTGGGGATGCCAAGTGTTTTCTGTACATCATCATCTCCTAGAAGGAGCTCTTCCTCTTCCATATGTATCGAGCATCTACCAACATCAAAGCGCTCTAGAAGGTATCTCAGAAGTTCACAATCACACGAGGATAGTGTTGCATTTAAAAGGGATCCAAATCCCATATCTCGAACAGCTTGGTGCTGTTCCGGGCTCAGACTACTGACAAGTGCACAGAGCTGCTTTGGGGAGGTCCGTACAAATAAATAATCACTGTTTCTTGGTTTTCTCCTCTTCTGTTTTTCATCCTTTCTTGTCCTCTTTGGGGCTTTGTCAGGTTCAGCAGCTGCACTAGCATGAGTTTTCTTTTGTTTTTTGGCAGCAGGCTGTTTGGGGGCATCACCGGCATCTGTTCTGGTTTCAACATTTGATGGTTC